TGGCGGGCTCAGGGGATCCCATGTGGTGCTTGGGATCAAACCCAGGTTCAACTATACGCAAGTGCCCTCCCCACTCGACTGTCTCTCAGCCCCTCAATCACAGTAGCATGAGAAACATCCTTGAAGGGTGTCAGGAAATCAAACCAAAACTGTGCCCCAACCCTGGAAACCCCAGATCCTCCCCCAATTTAAGAAGAAAGGGAAAATCCTCTTAGGTGGAAAAGAAAATGTATTGGAGTGCCTCATAATTTCTGGCAATTTTACTTTTATGTGAGGGGGTGGGCTGCATTTGGCAGTGCTCAGGGGTTAGTCCTGACTCTGCTCAGGAGTGTCCCCTGGTGGTGCTTTACAGGACTATTATGTGGGACCAGGGATTCACACCAGGCTGGGCAGCATGCAAGACAAGCTTTCAGCCCTGTACTCTCTTGCTGGCCACCTAGTGACTTTTTTAAATATTACACTCACAAAGAGAAAATAAACATGACCAAGATTAAAAAAAAAAAGACCCATAGACAATCAAGCTATTAATATTAGCATATAAAAATGTAAAATATTTGGGGCTGGAGCAATAGCACAGCGGGTAGGGCGTTTTCCTTGCACGCAGCCGACCCGGGTTCGATTCCCAGCATCCCATATGGTCCCCCGAGCACCGCCAGGAGTGATTCCTGAGTGCAGAGCCAGGAGTAATCCAGTTAGAAAAATAGTGAAAGTGATGAAACATGGAACCCAAAGATAAACGTACTGGGAATTTAGTTAGAGAACTTGACTCTATTAAGAAGTCAAATGGTGGGTGTGGGGGCAGCTGTAAAGGTAGTATCGTGGGTAAATCACTTGCTTTCCACGTGGCCAACCTGTGTTCAATCCCCAGCATCCCATATGGTCAAACAAACATTTCCAGGAGTAAATCCTGAGTGCAGAGCTAGGAGTAACCTCTGAACATTGCCGGTTGTGCCCCCGCCAAATGGTGGTGGTGGCGGGCAGACAGATACTCTACTGGGTAGGATGATGTCCAACTCAGGTTCAATCCCCAGCACCACATATGGTCCCCGAAGGCCCCCAGGAGTGAGCCCCTGAGCACAGTTGGGTGTGCCCACCTCCACTCCCACCAAAAAGACCCAGCAAGAAATAAAATGGTGTGGTGTTATTATAAAGATAGACACAAACACCCAAGAATGGCCGAGATTAGTACCAGGAATTTTACTCCATGACTTGGTGGCCAACCACACATGCTAGGGGAAAAGGGAGCTCAGATAGAGAAGGGAGCACCAAATAAAGGGTGTTGGGAGGATCCTCCCAGGGTGGGAGAAGCATGCTGAAAGTAGACTATAAACCAAACATGATTGACACTCAATGTTTCTTTTGCAAACCACAACACCCAAAAGGAGAGAGAGAACAGAGGGGAATGCCCTGCCACAGAGTCAGGGTGGGATGGGGGGGATGGGGGTGGGAGGGATACTGGGATCCGTGGTGGTGGGAAGTGGGCACTGGTGGAGGGATGGGTATTTGATCACAATTGAAACCCAAGCACAAAAATGTGTAAGTCTGCAACTGTACCTCATGATGTCTCACTATTAAAATTTTTTAATTAAAAAAAAAAGACACAGAGGGTGTGGAGAGAGAAAGTGAAATGGATAAGTTGTTTGTCTTGCAGGCAGACGACCCATGTTTGAGCCCTAGCACCAAAGAAGTCCCCTGAGTATTGCCAGGGGAGTTATCCCTGTACACTGCCAGAAGTTAGTCCCAAGGAGTCAGGTTTGGTTCCAAAACAAAACACAGACGTACAGACCAATGCAATAAAACAGAGCGCCCAGAAATAAATCATCACCCCCAAAGCAATGATGTGCCAAGGTGTCGAGACCATTCAATGAGGAAAAGACAATCTTTTCCACAAACGGTGCAGGGGAAATTGGATCCCCACACGGCAGGGAATTAATTTATATCACTTACAAAAATACCTCAAAATGGATCAAAGATCTAAACATAAGAGTGAAAACTATAAACTCTTGGAAGGAAACAGGGGAAAGCTTCATGACATTGCATTTGCTAATGATTTCTTGGCAGTGACATCAAAAACATTGACAACAAAAGGGAACATTAATCAAACGGTTACACTGAAATTTAAGAACGCCTGTGCATCAAAGGACACGGTCCAAGGAGGAGTCCCTGCATTATTGGAACTTGCAGTTTAGTGAGGTGGACAGTGTTCAGACAAGCGCCATGCACGCCGTGAGGGGATGTGGGAGGACAGGCTTCTGCGGCTGCCAGACTCCTCAGGGCGAAACCGCAGGTTAGTGCAGCTACAGACTTGCTGGACATGTTTCATCTTTCTGTTATATCCCCTGGGTCCAGAAATGGGCCTTTCCACAGGACAGGAAATGATCCTTAACTCTTTTGGAGCTAAGGTTTGAATTCCACTTTTCCTCAAAAGTGGAGGAGAATCTCGGCACCGTGATGGTGTTTGATGGTGGCTATTCATTTCAATTTGGTCCAGTTTTCTTTCTTTTCTAAGAATTGCGGGATAACCTCCGTCACCAAGGATATCGATGTGTTTTGAAATCAGTTTGTAAATGGCTAACTGAATTCTTGGATTTTGGTATGAGCTAGATACTAATTCATCTCAAAGTAGCAGCCCACCAGAGAAAACTGGGTATCATTTATAAAGAATTCCCCAGAGCAGTCTTACAGTGGGGAGGACACTTGCCTGGCACACAGCTCACTCAGGTTCAGTCTTGGCACCACATATGATCTCCTGCACATCTCAAGAGTGACCCCTGAGTGCAGAGCCAGGAGTAAGTCCGAGCACCACTGGGGGTTGGCCCCCACATAAAAGATTTTCCAGAAAAAGAGATAGTATAAGGGGCAAGTCACTTGCCTTGTGCACAATCACTTCAGTTGACCCGAGCTCAATCTGGGCACCGCATATGATCCCCTGAGCCTGCCAGGAGTGAGCCCTAAGCGCAGAGCCAGAAGCACTGCTGGGTGTGGCCCCAAATCCCTAACCCCTCAACAAAAGACTTTCCAGGTGAGGCCAGACTGGTTTTCTTTTTTTGGCTTGTTGGGTCACACCCAGTGATGCTCTGGAGTTATTCCTGACTCTGCACTCAGGGATTACTCCTGGCAGTGCTCAGGGGACCATGTGGGATGCCAGAATCAAACCCGGGTCGGCTGCATGCAAGGCAAATGCCCTCCCCGCTCTGGTATCGCTCTGGCCCCACGCTTTATTTTTTATTGCTCTCTTTTCTGTTGCGGCTCTTGTTAGTTAGGGTAAGATTTAGGGCCATAGTGACCGAAGTTCTTGCACACTTTTTAGTCGTGCTGCTCTCAGGACCGCACACGTGAATAGCGGCACGAGCACACCCATGGTCTCAGGGCACATTTCTGCTGGAGTCGGGGACCCCGAAGCAGAGCTGCTGGGATCCCACTTGGGCATGTGGGTGACAGGGATCTGTCTCTTAGCCTCACTGACCTCCACGTTGCAACGCAGAGGCTGGACAGCTGACCTATCAACTGATTTTTATTTCATATTTCCCTGACCTATCAACTGATTTTATTTCATATTTTATTTTTTGCTTTCTGGGCTCACTCCTGGCAGGACCGTATGTCGTGCCAGAGATCAACCCGGGACGACCATGTGCCAAGTAGGCACCGTACCACCTCTCTGGACCCAAGAACTTCTGGAGAGACAGTACAGATGTGGGACCTTTTCCCACCATTCGGTTGTCCCGGGCTCGATCCCTGGCATCTCAGAGAGTCCCCAGAGCACCGCCAGGACTGGGTCTTGGGTGCAGAGTCAGGTGTAATCCCTGGGCATTATGGGTGTGCACCCCTAAAAAAAAACCCAACCACCAACAGTAACAAAAAGACTTTCTGGACCAAAGTCGGTGTCTTGGAGTAATTCTTGCCCCACATCCACCTCCCACATCCACATAAATCTCTGCGTCAGGGGCCAGAGCAATAGCACAGAGGGTAAGGCGTTTGCCTTGCATGCGGCCGACCCAGGTTCGATTCCCAGCATCCCATATGGTCCCCTGAGCACCGCCAGGGGTAATTCCTGAGCGAAGAGCCAGGAGTGACCCCTGTGCATCACCAGGTGTGACCCAAAAATTTTAAAAAAATTAAAAAAAAAGAAAGTTGAATGTTGGGCTGGAGAGATAGCACAGCAGGTAGGGTGTTTGCCTTGCACGCGGCCGACCCGGGTTCGATTCCCAGCATCCCATAGGGTCCTCCAAGCACCACCAGGAGTAATTCCTGAATGCAAAGCCAGGAGTAACCCCTGAGCATTGTGACCCAAAAAAGAAAAAAATATTAAATAAATTGGCTTCTTGGGGGCTGGAGAGATAGCACAGTGGGTAGGGTGTTTGCCTTGCACGCGGCGGACCCGGGTTCGATTCCCAGCATCCCATAGGGTCCCCTGAGCACCGCCAGGGGTAAATCCCGAGCACAGAGCCAGGAGTAACCCCTGTGCATCGCCAGGTGTGACCCAAACATTTAAAAAAATTAAAAAAAAAGAAAGTTGAATGTTGGGCTGGAGAGATAGCACAGCGGGTAGGGCGTTTGCCTTGCACGCGGCCGACCCGGGTTCGATTCCCAGCATCCCATATGGTCCCCTGAGCACCGCCAGGAGTAATTCCTGAGCACAGAGCCAGGAGTAACCTCTGTGCATCGCCGGGTGTGACCCAAAAAGCAAATAAACAAATAAATAAATGAATAAAGTTCTTTAGAAAAAAAAAAAAAGAGTATAGTGTTTTAAAAAAAAAAAAATCGGCTTCTTAAAAAAAAAAAAAAATCTCTGCGTCAGAACGTCAGAACGCAGCCACAGTGGGCACCCGCCGCGACGCTGACGCTGACCCGCGGCGGCTGGGCCTCTGGGCGCCGGGAATGACGCGCTTCCGGCGACCTCCTCAGCATGGCCGCGCGGCGGCGCCCACAGGAAGCGGGAAGTGTGGCGCGGAGGGCCACTTCCGCTTCCGGCGGCGCAGGCGCTTTCACTTCCACTCGCGCGGTGACTAAGATGGACCCGCTGGTGGGGCCGCGCTGCGGGCTGTGGGCCGGGGGTCCAGCCCCGGGCCAGTTCTACCGCGTCCCCTCGGCGGCCGCGTCCGTGCTGGACCCGGCGTCTGCCCCGATCACGCGCACGCAGTGAGTCGGCGCGCGGGGCGGCGGGCGGGCCTCGGGGCGGGCGGGGGCCGGGGCGGGCGGGCGGGGGCCGGCCCCGCTGACCGGCCTCCCTCCCTCCCTCTCGGCCAGGAACCCCATGGTGACCGGCACCTCGGTCCTGGGCGTCCAGTTCGACGGCGGCGTGGTGCTGGCGGCCGACATGCTGGGCTCCTACGGCTCGCTGGCGCGCTTCCGCAACGTCTCCCGCATCATGCGCGTCAACGGCAGCACCGCGCTGGGCGCGTCCGGGGACTACGCCGACTTCCAGTACCTGCAGCAGGTCCTGGGCCAGATGGTGTAAGTCCGGGCGGGGGACGGGGGCGGGGGACGGGGGCGGGGGCGGGGGTCGCGGCCGCCACGCCCCCCTGCAGGCCCCCTGCAGGCCCGCCCCCCCATGCAGAGCCTGCAGTGCCCTCTCGCTCTCTCCTCCCTGGGAGGATGCTCCCCCATGCAGAGCCTGCAGTGGCCTCTCGCTCTCTCGTCCCCGGGAGGATGCTCCCCCATGCAGAGCCTGCAGTGCCCTCTCGCTCTCTCCTCCCTGGGAGGATGCTCCCCCATGCAGAGCCTGCAGTGGCCTCTCTCTCTCTCCTCCCCGGGAGGATGCACCCCCATGCAGAGCCTGCAGTGCCCTCTCGCTCTCTCCTCCCTGGGAGGATGCTCCCCCATGCAGAGCCTGCAGTGGCCTCTCGCTCTCTCTCCTCCTGGGGAGGATGCTCCCCCATGCAGAGCTTGCAGTGCCCTCTCTCTCTCTCCTCCCCGGGAGGATGCTCCCCCATGCAGAGCCTGCAGTGCCCTCTCTCTCTCTCTCTCTCGTCCCCGGGAGGATGCTCCCCCATGCAGAGCGTGCAGTGCCCTCTCTCTCTCTCTCTCCTCCCGGGGAGGATGCTCCCCCATGCAGAGCCTGCAGTGCCCTCTCTCTCTCTCTCTCTCTCCTCCCCGGGAGGATGCTCCCCCATGCAGAGCTTGCAGTGGCCTCCCTCTCTCTCCTCCCCCGGAGGATGCTCCCCCATGCAGAGCTTGCAGTGCCCTCTCTCTCCTACCGGGGAGGATGCTCCCCCATGCAGAGCCTGCAGTGGCCTCTCTCTCTCTCTCTCTCTCTCCTCCCCGGGAGGATGCTCCCCCATGCAGAGCTTGCAGTGGCCTCCCTCTCTCTCGTCCCCGGGAGGATGCTCCCCCATGCAGAGCCTGCAGTGCCCTCCCGCTCTCTCCTCCCTCCCCCATGCAGAGCCTGCAGTGCCCTCTCTCTCTCTCCTCCCGGGGAGGATGCTTTCTGAGCCCTCGCCGACTCCTTTCCAGAATCGACGAGGAGCTGCTGGGAGACGGACACAGCTACAGCCCTAGAGCCATTCATTCCTGGCTGACCCGGGCCATGTACAGCCGCCGCTCCAAGATGAACCCCCTGTGGAACACCATGGTCATCGGGGGCTATGCCGATGGAGAGAGGTTGGTTTTTGCACCCCAGCAAATGCCCTTCCTGCGCCGCCCAACCTGCTGCCTGTGAAGGGGGTCCGCCCAGCCCCGGCCCTCACTCCCGTAGGCTCATCTAAGACACCCGAGGTGGTCACTGTCGTGCCTGTTAGCTTCCTAGGTTACGTGGACATGCTCGGTGTAGCCTATGAAGCTCCTTCGTTGGCTACTGGTTACGGAGCTTACTTGGCTCAGGTGAGTGGCCAACACGGGTGGGGGTGCGGGCTCCCACGGGGTTGTCCGGTTGTCTTGTTCATCCCTTGATCCCTGCTGTAAGTGTTGGTTCCCCGAGGGGGTGTGTCCCCCATCAGCAGACACTCGCAAAAGGAACCCCCCCTTCCCACGCGGGTCTTAGCCCAACTAAGCAGTTTATTCTGATGTAGATTCTAGAAGTCACTCATTTATGCTGCCACTTTTTTTTTAAGACAGACTTGGGGACCAGGAGCTAGTGGGATCTAGACCCTACCCTCTCTCTCCCTCTTCTGACCTCCTTAGCCGCTGCTGAGAGAAGTTCTGGAGAAGCAGCCAGTGCTGAGCCAGTCTGAGGCCCGGGAGCTGGTGGAACGCTGCATGCGGGTGCTGTACTACCGAGACGCCCGCGCGTACAACCGGGTGAGGAGGGGCCCGAGTCGGAGAGCTCTTGGTCTCCGCGTTGAGAAACAGATCGAAACTTTGGAGACCAGCAGACCTCCCGGACCCGTGATTACCCAAGGACCTCATTCCTGGTCACATTTTCACTGTGAATTCTGTTTTCTTTCAGTTCCAAATTGCCACGGTAACGGAAAAGGGTGTTGAAATAGAGGGACCACTCTCTGCCAAGACCAACTGGGATATTGCCCACATGATCAGGCGAGTGGAATAATTGTAGCACCATAGAACTTAAGAGGTCCCTCCCCCCCGCCCCGCGCCCCCCATGACTTAGTTGGGTTTATGTGGGGGTCTGGTTCTGGAGGGGAGGGATGCGCACCTTACAGGGCTTACTTCTGGCTCTGTGATCAAAGGTCATTCTTGGTAGCTCTCCCGTACCGCAGTGCTAGGATTTGAACTGGAATTGGCCACGGCAAGCACTTATCCCCCTGTACTGCCCCCTGGGAAGGGGTCTCAGCCAGGATGGTTTTGGTAGTTTTGGTTCGGAGCAGAGTGTTTCTAGGATTGACTTCTCACCATATTACTTAACAGTTGATGCCCTTCCTTCCTTTTCAGTGGCTTTGAATGAGATGCAGATGCCTTGTCCAGAAACGGAGTTACAGGCCCTTCTTCTGACTTTGAGCCTAACTAGTTCAAAAGGAATTCTTTTGTAGAATAAATACATTGAAACATTTGCGGAGTGACTTAATTATTGTCTAATTTTAGGTGACACCAACAAAACTGCCAAGGATTGCCATATGCTGTCTCCCTGCCGGGCAGCAAACCCGTTAACTTTGGGTAAAATAATGAATTCTCTGGGCAGCCGTACAAAAACCCTGTCTTCATTTGAAACTACACTAAGGTTAATGTAGAAAACGTACTGTATCCTGAATAATACTTAATATTCCCACCCATGTTGGGTTCTAAAAGATTTTTGGTTAATGCTATGAATGTATTAGGTCAAACAGTTGTGGGGAAAAGCTATCTTGTAGAGTTGCTATGTCTACATTAGGTCACCCCCAAAGCCCTGAATGAAAATCTTTATCCTCCAAACTCACTTTTCATAAAAGGGACGTGAACTTTAGCTTTTGTCTATACCTAATTTCTGACGCTCTAGAAAGTGAATTACTTTCCTTAACAAGTCTTCAGTGTAGTGTTTATTTTTATCGGGTTGTGGTGATGGGAAGTTGAGCCACACCAGCGATGCTCGGGGGTTACTCCTGGCTCTGCATTCAGGAATTAACTCCTGGCAGTGCTTGAGGGACCGTCTGGAATGATGGGGATTGATCCTGGGTTGGATGCATGCAAGGGAAATGTCCTACCTCCTGTACCATCACTCTGGCCCCTTCGGTATAGTTTTGAATCAAATTAGCTGAAATATTAGCTGAATTTCACCCTGATTGATATTAAACCCAGATTGAGAACAAAATATTCCTCCCATTGGCATTACTCATGATTAAAACAAATGAAACAATAAAAAATCATCGGTTCTTCAATGCAACTCTTGTACATACTCAAGTCTCAACACAGAAAAGTCAATAAATACTTGTTTATTGATTAAACTGAATTTTATATATATAAAAAAAGCAACAAAAAAAAACCTTTCTACTACTAAGCCATGCGGGCAGAATCCACAAAGGTAATTTCCTGGCCAAACCCATCTGGTCCACTGTTGGGGTTTATGGTCTTAAAAGATGGTAATAATCACCCACTAAGAAAGTCCTACAGTATCAGAAGCCTGGAACTCAGCTCTGCCAAGGCAGAGACCAGCAAAGAGAAGGATTAGGTCATCATAGGTAGAACTGACCACTGGTGCTTGAACTTTCTCAAAGGCAAAGGGGTTGACTTGAAAAGCCCATGTTTTGTAAAAATGGCATCAGGCCAAACAGAAAATCAAACAAAAATCCTGGCAGAGAAACCCAGATTGATCCTCAGCTGAGTTTCAGATGCCATGCATGGGTTCAAAGCTGGCCAGGCCAGTTCTGAGAGGGATCATTCCAGTTCACTATATTATAGTGTGCTGGGGGGGAGCATGGGAGAGGGTCTTATGGAAGGGAGAAAAAAAAAAAGACAAAAAAAAAGGGGTAAGAAAAAGTAGGTGATAACCAATATCACACCTGTACCACAAGGCCTGTCATATCTCAGACATCTCCCAGACTATTAAAATCGGGTTACCTAGAAAATAACCACATTGTTTATAAATCCATTTCCCCTCGTTTTATTAAATGTTCCACATATGTACATTTGAAGATGAACCATTTACAAGCCTGTGCAGGTGGCCGCCTTGGCTCACTGGAGGGAAAGCTGCTCAAAGTGTTGGGATGGACAGAGGTGGTGGTTCTGGACAAGGTGGACTCGGACTTCGCTCCTTCTCTCTGTATGTCAGAGCCGTGTTTCAGTTCATAACCATGAGGACATACGAGTGAAAAAAACATCTCCTGCACACGGTAGAAAAAACGGTCTTTCCTCGAAGCTGGCAGTGAAAAATAAAGATTCGTGTCTTTTTTTTTTTTTCCCTTGTGCACACCCATGTTTCTTGGTCAGATTCTTCTCTGAGCACTCAGAGAGCGGGGGAAGCCATGGGGTGATAAGAAGCAGGATCTGAACCAGTGGTCTGTCTTCGAGTTCCGTACTTCTCACATGATGATCTCCTGGCTGCGGAACATGTGATCTGTCTTGAATGGGCGCTGACCACTTGAACGAGTTCAGCAAAGCAAGAGTGGCTCCCGGGTGGGTGCGGGACGGAGACCCACACTGTATGGCTGCCACCCCAATACTCTGAGGGCTCCCCCAAGGCCGCCTGCTTGCTACTGGCACCTGGACGCTCCTCTGATCCAGAGTGATGGTGTGAGAATGGGGAGAGGGACCAAGGTCTGCAAGTGCAAATAATATTGGTTTTGTCATGTTTTTGCTGGAGGGAGGGTTGTAAGGAGTAACAAGTATATTCATCTCTGAATGGTTAAAGGTGATTTCATGCATTTTTAAAGCCACAATTTTATCTCAGAGTTGCTGTAGAAACCAACATCTCTGGAGAGGGAAGGAAAGAAAGAAGAGTTCAGTGGGATTTTTTTTTCCATTTTCATTTTTATATAAAAGAGTTAAGACCACAATGAAAAAAGATTTTTGTCCATATATATAATAAACCAGTTTGTGAGCTACATAGTTTCGTCTTTCCCATCTTCAGGAATATTCTCACACTGACAATGATTCGGAGAGTATCATGCCAGAGACATCGGCCACACAGTTCAGACAAACAACCCAAATGCACTATGATACAAGTGAGGTAAAAAAGAGAAAACAAAAAAACCTAACATTCACCCACAAAGAACTTTTTTTCTTTTTCTTGATTTTCTCAGAAATATACCAAACACAATGACTTAAATTAAAAAAGAAAGAAAGAGTCACAAAACCTGTTTTTCGCAGAAGTGAACGGCCAACGGGCCAGCTCCCGGGCTCAGATGTGATGTGGTCGGTTTCCTGGCAACCCAAACATCCACAGGGAAGTATAACCCAACAGCAGGGGGAAGGGTGGCATCGAATTCAAAAATAGAAACAAATACCCCACCTGGCAGACCCCCTCTTCCCTAGCTCCCCTCCCCACCCTCTTCCGCGCCCCACCCCGCTCGATCCCTCCGGTCGGTCCCCGACACACACTCAAATCTCCATCAGAGCCAGGTCGGCCTCCTCGAAGCCGTAGAAGGACTCGGTCTCGCTCTCGCCCTCGAAGAGCTGGTGCAGGCTCTCGGGCTCAACCGTCTCTTCCGGGGAGGACCGGGGCCGCGGGGTGGACCCGGCGCCCTCCTCGGACTGCTCGCCGCCCAGCTGCAGCTGCTCCTCCAGCGAGGCGATCAGCTCCTCCTGCATGTCGGCGTTCCTGGCGGGCGAGCTCACGGTGCCGTCGGGGCCGGGCAGCACGCTGGCCACCAGGAAGGACCGCTGCACCAGTTCCGGACAGTCGCCCACCACGCCCAGGACCTCCGCCAGCCAGGACAGCACCAGCTGGAGCAGGAGCCGGGAGTCGCAGGTCACGTCGGCCATGGCCCGGGCCTGCTCCTTCCACTTCTTGTGCAGGAAGTTCTTGACCGTCCGCTTGATGCACACGTCGAGGGGCTGGATCTTGGCGCTGCAGCCGGCCGGCACCACGGCGGGCAGCGTGCTGGAGGCGCTGAGCAGGGCCAGCACCTCCTCCGACAGGTGGGTGCGGTGGCAGTCCATGACCAGCATGCCCTTGCCGCGCTGGCAGGCCGCGTGCCTGCGCCAGACCCGCGCGGCCCACAGCGCCATCATCTCGTCGTCGCTGTAGCCGCCCTCCTTGGCCTCGAGCAGGATGGAGGCCGGCACGTCGGCCGGCCGGCCCGGCGGTCCGCGGCAGAACACCAGCGTGGGCAGGACGGTGCCGTCGGCCAGGATGGCCAGCACCACGTCGCACCAGGGCTCCCCGGTGCCCACGGTCTGCAGGGCGTTCTCCTTGCGGTCGTCGCTGCCCAGCACCTCGGCGTCCAGGAACAGGGAGACCTCGTCGACGGCCACGATCATGGACAGGGGCAGGTCCTGGCGGTGGATCTGCCGCTGGACGAACTCGATGAAGAGCCCCGCGCTGTCGGCCACGTCCTTGGGCAGCGTGTGGGCCACGGCGCGGCGGGCGTGCGGGCTCAGCTGGTGGCGCAGCATGAAGCGCACGGCCCACTCGTAGGAGATCTTGAAGCCGCCCTCCAGCGAGCGGCCCAGCTTGGTGGCCTTCTGGAACAGGGTCTCCTCGTTGACGGGCAGCTGCTGCTCGCGCTGGGTCAGCACCCACTCGGCCAGCTTCTCCTCGGCCTCCAGGCTCAGGTACTTGCCCTCCAGGTTCTCGCCCTGCGACGCCTGCACGCGCCGCAGCCAGCGCCGGATGCGCCGCTGCGGGTTGCGGAAGTGCTCGGCCGCCTGCTCCGTGTTGCAGCACAGCGCGAACAGCACCACGCGCAGCTTCTTCACCGACAGCTGCTCCTTGCGGCCCGGGCCGCCGCCGCCGCCCGCCGCCGGCTCCGGGTCCGGGTCCTGCGGAGCGGGGCTGCCCTCGTCCGCGTCCTCGGCGCCCAGGCCGGCCGCCCCCTCCGCGGCCGAGGGCGGGAGGGCGGCGGCGGGCTGCGCCGGGGCCGGGGCCGGGGCCGGGGTCGGGGTGGTGGGGGGCGTGGCGGTGGAGGCGGGCGAGGGCAGCGCCGGGGCCGCGGGCGCGGGCGCCTCTTCGGGCTCGGCGGGGCCCGTCCCCGCAGGCTTCACAGTGGCGGCTTGACTCGAGGGGAAGGACGGAGGAGGGTGGATGTTCTTCAAGCCCCGGTCTTGCTCCCGGTCCCGGGTCTGGCTGGGCCTACGGGAACAGCAAAAGGAGGAACAGAGAAAGCTCAGACTTGGAAGGCAAGACGGCAAACACTGCCGCTACTGCCCAGAAAGAGCAAACCCCCCCCCAGATGGGAAGCAGAGCCACGAAACGAGGTGTTACCTTGACTGAGGCATCCAGGAAAGTCCTGCGGAAAACGAGACCAGACAAAACCGTTACCCGGCGAAGACACGCGTCCATCGAGAAGACAAACCCTCTACCCCCGTCTCACATAACCTTCCAGCTGGAAAGGGAGCAGCAGGGCCAGGCCGCCCCCGGCTCGCCCCCACACGCGCCCGGACTCTCCTCCCTTTCTACTTACCCCGTGGCAGGATGCTGCTGGACCGGTGAGACGGGTTGAACACCAGATGCTTGGCCATGGCATCTCCCACAGAGGTGACAAAGGGGCAGGAGGTGCAGGCCAGCTTGGTTCCGCTGAGACCGAGGGTCGAGGTGACAGAAGATTAAAAAAAAAAAAACAGCAGTGAGTAGAATGAGGTTTTGAGGCTGAATGAAGAAAACGAGCACCTCCTTCCTTTTCCCTTCTCTCCATTATATCCACGCCCTCTCCCCACCCCCAGAAAACAAGGATTTAGGGCGGTTGGAGCAACTGTACCCTCAGAGAGAGGGCACTTCCCGAGCATGTGACCGACCTGGGCTCAACCCCCAACACCCTACATGGTCCCCCGAGCCCACTAAACCCTGAGCACTGCCAAACGTGGTCCCAAAACAACAACAAAGCTTGGGTTTGGAAAGGGTTAGATTAGAGAGAGATCTGGGGCGGGAAGGCCTCCGCCTTGAATGTGGCAGACCCCAGTTCAATCCCAGTATCCCACGATCCCAAGAATCACCAGGTGCAGCCCCGAAGGCGCCCAGGAAAGCACATCCTACGGGTCTATGCACTGAACTGCTGGGCCAGATGGCTGAAAAAATGCCAGAAGGGGGCCCCGGGACTCTTGAGCACTGCTTGTGAGGCCAAGAGACAAACAAATAACCAAAATACATTAAAAGATATGGGCCAAGGCCACAGCTTACAAAGAGGGACACACACTTCGCTGGCCAGAGTCCAGGCTCAGCCCCAGCCTGGCAGGGTGCCCCGAGTCGCCCTCAAGGCCCTCCCCTCCAAAACCAGAATTCGGACAAACGGAGCCCATTACCACGTGTTTCCTTACCTCACAGCGTTCTTAAACAAAGCCAAGTACTTGGGACTCTTCCGTGGAACATGATTGCTGAGAAAGACAGAGTGGTGTGAGAGCAGGGCTCTCTACAGGGCACCAGCCCCCTGACAACAGCCGGACAGAGCTGCCTCCCTCTCCTGTGGGAACGCCCGTGCCGCCAGGGGACAGGAGGCTGGGGCAGGGCCGAGTCCTGGTCCTTGGGCCCCGCTGTACACAGCTAACCAGAGCACAGGTCACCACCAGCTCAGGGCCGGGGCCTCCCCTTGCCCTCTAGAGAGACGGCCAAGCAGCTCTCGCGCTGAGGGCAGCGGCAGAGGGTCCTGCGCTCCGGGGTTCAGCTCGCGGGGCTCCAGGGACTCACTTGATCATGTGGTTGGCGTAGGCGCGGGAGCAGCAGGTGCTGTAGCGGCACAGAGAACAGTGGACGTAGGTGGGGAAGTGATTAGGGAAGTCGGGGATCTCGAAGCTGCACTCCAGGCAGGTCTGGCGGCCCATGACGCTCCTGTAGAAACAAGCACGACAACGCCTTCGTCACTGGCTCCTGCGCCGAGGGGGAGGGCGGCGGCTGGGGAGGGAGTCCGAGGCTCTACGAGCATCGAGAAAAGCACTGACATTTTCCTGACTGCTCTCTTCTGGACCGTGCGCTGGACAGGAGGGTAGAGAAAGACGGGCAGAGGGTCTGTGGCCGTGGTCAGGGGGGTCATTTCCTGCAGGGAGCTGGGAGGCGTGTCACTGGAGACAGGAACAGTTCGAGGCTGCCCTCGGGAAGCCCGGATCGTCACCTAGGAGTCAAAAGAAGGATCTGTTACACAGTACTGACAGGAAGCCTCCCGAGACGGAGAACAGCTGCTCTGTGGGGCGCTGTCCACCACACCCAGCAGTGCCACTGCGCGGATTCCCGGACCGATTCCTGGTCTGCGCTCAGGGATCATTCCTCGTGGGGTCAGGGGGAACATCAGAGGTGCCGGGATGGCCCCTGGGTCAGCCGTGTGCAAGGCAAACACGCCCCCTTGCTGTGTATCACTCCGGCCCCAAGTCAGAGTGCTTTTCTCCTGGCCCTGGAACAGAAGAGGAGGGTAGCTTTACCTTGGTGCCTGGTTTCAAGCCCTCCAGCTGCTTGGGTTTACGAAAGGTTTTATGGTGCTGAAGCTTGTGTTCAATCTTGTCCTTGGCAAAAAGGAACTGCAGCCGGCATTTGTTACAGTGATAAACGTTCCTCTTCTGAAGAGAGAGCCAAGAAAAAGAGAATCCCTCAGAGTCCCGCAGAAATCTTCCCTTGATTGAGAAGGAAGATCAATGCCAATACCAACATAGCAGTCTTTCTGCTTTTTGTTCATAATTAAAAAGCAAAAGTACACACCACAGCCACCATTCATTAATAATCGCCACCTTTCTTGCTCCCCAAGATGGACAGACTCAAAGCCAGTATGGCTAGTTGCCCTCATAGCAGTGATTTATTTAATCTTTTTTTCTTTTTGGCTTTTTGGGTCACACCCAGCAATGCACAGGGGTTGCTCCTGGCTCTGCGCTCAGGAGTTACTCCTGGAGGTGCTCAGGGGACCATGTGGGATGCTGGGAATCGAACCTGGGTTGGCCGCGTGCAAGACAAACGCCCTACCTGCTGTGCGATCGCTCCAGCCCCAGGAGCAGTGATTTAAACTTTAACACACTCATCTTTACACTGCAGAGATGATACCCACTTTGGACGTGTTTTCCTGCCCCCTTTTAGTACAACGGAACACAGAGGGAAAAACAGAAAAACACTTTTTACTCTATGGTCCTTCATGTATATAAATGACTTCAACTCCAACCTCGATCTCTTTCCATGAAAATAACCTATTTACTATTTAGTAGATATTCTTTCAAAGACAATTTTTTTTTCATAATATCTAAACGGATAAATCTTCCCCCCAAAATTCACTTTCTCCAAAGTTTCCTTCTCAGTAAGCAGCACAACTATTCACTCAACTGCTTTGGACAGAATCTTCATTATCCTTAAGACTATTCTTTTCTCTTTTTCGGGGTGGAGGTGGGGAGTGGGGGGTCGTGGGCCACACCCAGTGGTGCTCAGGGGTTATTCTTGGCTCTGCACTCAGGGATCACTTGTGATAGGGCTCAGGGGACTACATGGTACGGGGACTGGACCTAGGTTGGCTGAATGCAAGGTGAGGATCCTGCCCGCTAACACTATTTCAACAACCCCCTCACTGCCTTTACTGAACACACCCTGAACGCCTCCTCTCTCTGTCCTTTTTCATTCTGAAAGCCAACAGTTCTATTTTGCACCTAAACTGCTGAAAGTTTAGTTCCCCAAACACCAGCCTAAATTTTCAGTCTCCTCTCCTTGGTGGAGTTCCTGTAACTGTAACCCAAAAACCAACCTCCAGAAATTCGAAGCCCTTCGAACAGTTTCCAGTGACTTGGGTTACTGGAAACTTGAAACTACTTTTCATGGTTTACGGGATTCTCCACAATCTGTTTAGAGACTATAAACAGATTAATTTTATAACCCCTAAGTCCCCTTGCATCCTGCATTCCAAACACACGAAACTTATTTCAGTGCTTACAGTTCCGAGAGTCTTACACCTCTCAGGGCTGATTCTACCCCACTTCACCGCTCATTCTTACTCATGCAGTCTTGACCACCTCCTTTCCTCAAAGTCCTGCGAATAGTCAAATTTCCTCGTGTCTTGTGTTTCCTCCGTCTAATGCAACATTCCTCATGCTTTGTCTTATTTATCACTGATCTCTAGCATCCAGTCAAGAGAATGCATGGAATCAAAATACAGCGCCCTTCCTGCGGTGAGGGGGAAGGAAGGGGGCGAAGAATTGGAGCCACACTTGGTGGTACTCAGGGCTTTCTCCTGGCCTTGTGCTCAGAAACCAGGGGACCATAAAGGCTACTGGGGACTGAACCCAGGTCATGTGTATTCAAAGCAAGTGCCCTACCTGCTGGTACTATTGCTATTGCTCTGGTCACCCAAATACAGCACTTAAAAACAAACAGACAAACAAACAAAAAAACACATATACATTATTTACAAACCCACGTATAGGACACAGTATATGTATATTATGGTCAACAATACCAGAATCGTGGCCTCGTTCATTCCTGGTCCCAATACCCATATGCCTAAAACCCAGGAATATCAGAACTGCTTGGTGCCTGGTACCTGGTGCCGCATGTAGTGCTGCTGGAATGCGTTGCCATTTTTGAAGACCTTCAAACAGTACGGGCAGAGCAGATGCCGCGTGTCTTCGTGGATCATGCGGAAGTGGACATCCACTTCGGAGTAGAGCGAGGAACGGTACTGACACACCTGAATCACACAGGAGGAAAAGTGAGCTGCATTGCATGCATCACGGGAAGAGCACAAGTGATAAAAGAGGAAAAGGTTTTCCTCAATGCACAGAAATCCAGTTATTGTTCTGACCTTGCAACTCAAGGCAATGTTTATGGTAAATTCAGCTGTAAATTAAGATAAAACCAAGGACAGACAATCTATGAATAATCCGTGTTCTAGGACTCAGAGGAGTGAAACTTTGTCAGGTCTCCTAGGGGCACAGACACTCGTGAGGACGAGCAGAGGGTGGCCCTGACTGCGCTCCAGCTGCCTGGATGCGTCTGTTCCTTATGTCCTGCAAGAAAACTCCTGAACACAGGCACGGTGTCTCTATTTCTTCTGTTATCTCCTCAGTGTTCCTGAAACTAAGTGTGTGTGGTACATATTCAGCAGTGTTCCTGAATGGAGTTTTGTATTTGCGTTAAGAGCGAAATGGCCAAAGATCCCTGGAGACAACGGCAGTACCTGGCAAACATAAGGCATCTCTCCAGGCTTATGGGTATCTTTCATATGTTGGAGAAACAGTGGCTCGCTTTCAAACGCCCACTCACAGATCTTGCATTTGGCTGTAAGAAAAAGATAATCAGTAAATCCACCAAAGAAAATAAGACCAAAGATTATGCTAGCCATCTACTTTTCTCTCCTCGATCTTCATTGTCAACAGTAAAACAACAATTAACTTTCATTTAAAAAAAAAAAGGTCCCATCCAATTGCGTTGCTGACAGCAACCAAGCAGAAGTTCCTCCCTCCTGCTACTCAATCCGAGCTCTGTTCTAGATTCTGAACCACTAGACAGCGTCAACTGTATGCTCCACCATCCACTCGTGACTTATTCACAGCCTCCTGCTTCCCATTTTCCTCTCCCCCACCGTCTCCGGCATTCAGAACCTAGATGCCTGCTCCAGCTCCAAAGCCCTGTCTTCTCCCAGCGAAGTATCTAAGAACTGTCACTTCTCCGTGCTCACAGGCAATAATCTAGGCGGAATCCCGTATGATTCCCTACTGCTCAATACTGGCTTTTAATAGTGGTTCTCCAATCTATTTTTTATGTACCATGGCAGAGTGATTTTCTTTCTCTTTTTTTTTTTGGGGGGGGGGCACACCCAGCAATGCTCAGGGGTAACTCCTGGTTCTGCACTCAGGAATTACTCCTGGGTACTCAGGGAACCATATGGGATGCCAGGGATTGAACCCAGGTTGGCCGCGTGCAAGGCAAATGCCCTCCCCACTGTACTATTGCTCTGGCCTGGAAATAATTTTAAAGTATACTATAGCATCTGTTCATAAATAGACAAAGTTATCTCCTGTGAATAATTCAGTATTTATTACACACCCACTAAATCCACTAAGAGTGAATCCACTATAAGAGAACTGGGTCAGAGAGACAGCTCAACAGGCTGAGTGCAAGCTGTGTATGCAGGAGGCCAGGTTTGATCTCTGGCACTGCAAGGACCTCAAGACAGAAGCAACACCTGAGCACAGAGCCAGGAGTAATCCCTGAGCCTGCTAGGTGTGGCCCAAACAAGGAAGAAAAAAAAGGGGGGGGGGGGGCCAGGAGATAGTATAGTGGGTAAGGCACTTGACCTGCATGCTGCCAACCAAGGTCTGATGTCCAGCATTCCATATGGTTCCCCGAACTCTGCCTGGAGTGACTCCTGAGTGCGAAGCCAGGAGTATGAGCACTGCCGAGTACGGCCCCCAAATAAATCCACCACGCACCCCCCCAAAAAAAAATTAAAGGAAAGAAAATGTGTCCTCAAAGAACTGACAACCATGAAGAGAAATTCTTGCTATTACAAGCTTTTCTGTTCGTTCAGAATTAACAAATTTGAGATAATTAAACTCTGATATTCTCTATTTTGTCATGTTTATAGGCTGCAACACTAAGTATCTGGTAAAATTCTTCTATTTGCTATGTAATCTGAATTAATTCAGGCAAAACTAAGAAGTTATCTGTATCCATCTGTCCTTACTGCCAATGGAATTGTCAAGGCTTTACAAACATGGAAATGATAAATTTGAAGCTTTAAGCATTTACTGGGCCAGGCCCACCCCCTGCAGTCTTCTTCCCTCAGGAGTGAAGCCGAGTATCAGAAAGTAACCCCGTTCTTAGTCTGTGGCCTTGGGACAGTTCTCAGGAATCTCAGGTCTCTGTTGAAATTATCTGTAAAATAGTAAAATGCCTATTTCTCTGAGAAAAGTGCTCACAGGTATCGTTGTTCATTCTCACTGGGGTCTGCAAGTCATTCAGGACCACCGCCCTGAGGTACAGCGAGTGCTACTATGCTACATAGAAATAAAAATTCCGTCGAAGTAATGAGGAAAGCTGCAAGACCTATACGCTGCACTTTGAAAAAAGTAGGAGCCCAGGGAAGCACAGGAAGGGCATGGAGCCCGACACACGGGCCTGGGGACAGGGGCGGGTGCCAGCAGTGCTCTGGTCTCCCCTCTCAGCTCAGGCACTTTCTACCATCTGTTCGCTTTGCTTTCTCCCACCACTAGGTGTTCTCAGGGCTGGCTCCCGGCTCTGTGCTCAGAAGTCCCTCTCTCCTGGTGGGGCTCAGGGGATCACAGGATCAACACCAGGTTGGCTGCGTGCCGGGAAAGCGCCCTCCGCTCTGTACCCTCTCTCTCTGCCCCTTTCTTTTCTTTCCTAGAACGTTTATTTAATCTGGTGTTTTCTAGCATTCTGTTCTAGCCCTACTCGCTTACTGTGCGATCTCACTCAACCCTGAATGCTTCTCCTACATCTTTACGTACTAGCTCTACTGACAGTGCAGCCACAAGGCATCAATCCTAATATTTACTGAGCAGTTACTAAGTACTAATACACAAATACCAAATTAATTCTGTTTCCCAAAACTCACCCAACTTCATCGTTCTATGTACTGAAAGACTTTGCCGAACAATTATTTCTCCTTCTTAGGTCTCTTCCCAAACAAGATGGTTCCCCCAACATCTAAGCATGGGTGAATTCCCAAAAGCACCCTTAGCTTCAATCCTATCACTTCCCTCAACCTACTGCCTCTATACAAATCTGAAGAAAAACTTTAAAGCTATTAAGACTGTACTGTTTACAGAATAAAGGGTAAATATCCCTATGACCATCATCCAAATCAAACATCCATTGTTGCTTGGGGATATTTCAGGAAATATGAAAATGGACTAAGCATTAGATGTTAATAAGTTATGATTCATTTTGTTAGGTTTTTTCAGAGGTACTTTTTTTTGTTTTTTTGCTTTTTGGATCACACCCAATGATGCACAGGAGTTACTCCTGGTTCATGCACTCAGAAATCTCTCCTGGCAGTGCTCGGGGGACCATATGGGATGCTGGGAATCGAACCTGGGTCTGCCACGTGCAAGGCAAACACCCTACCCGCTGTGCTATTGCTCCAGCCCCAAAACACTTATTTTTAAAACATGTACTAAAACATTTAAGAAATTCCATTCTCTCTGCAATTTAATTAAAAACAGTTCAACAGACTCAACAACACTGAAAACACGAGCTCTAAGCTGCAGCCACTAAGCTTTGGAATGAGCTGTCAAGGTGGAAGTGGGTAGGGGACGGAGTATGGGGGGGACACTCGGAGTCAGGAGTAACCCCCAGCCCTGCTGGGCATGGTCCCCAAACAAAAGCAAACAAAGAAGAGCAATGGGGTGTCACCCTCACATGAACACTGACAATAACTCCGGGGCTGGGGGCGGAGCCGACGTGGTCCCACACACGTGCTGTGTGAGCGAGGCTCTGGGTTCCCCATCACTCGGCTCGGCTGTCCATCCCATCCCCGGGAGCACTGCGTCTGGACACCAGAGAGGCTGACGGGCCGAAAGGCCAAGATGCAGAGCTCGGTCTCCAACCCCCAGTAATGCCGACAGCTCTGCCATTTGGGACCCGGAAAGCAGGGCTCATGGGCTCTCCACCTCCTCAGCAGGGCAGCAAAGAATGTGGAGCGAGACTGAGACGGTTAAGTAAGGGATGGGTGGGTAGCAAGCGAGACCATGTGAAAACCAGAGCGGGGATCTTGACATGCACGTGTGGAGGAACTGATGATTTGTCCTGCGGCACTGCGAGTATCAAACTGACTCCAGGCCCGGAGAGACAGGCCAGCAGGCAAGTCCTCCTGCCTTGTATAACTCGGGTTCCATCTCCGGCACCACATGGTCCCCCGAGCGCCACCAGGAGTGATCCCTGACTGCAGAGCCAGAGGTGAGCTCTGAGCACTGCAGGGTGTGGACCCAAAACACAATGAAATGAAACGACGATTTCAATTTTATTCTAAAGTATGATGGTATGATTCCATTTTTTGTCTGGGATCCTTGGTGAGGTGGGGGTGGCGGAGACAGGGGTCGAGTTGGTTAAGTAACAAAAAGAGAATCCAAAGATGAAACTAAGCTGTCTAGGTCAACAATTTCTCAGGTTTTGATAAACCAACTTTTCTTCTGCGGGGAGGGCTGGTGCAGGGAGGCCACCCCGAGCGCTGTGCAGGGGTCAGCGAGTCTGGGGGCTGCTTCCCAGCACGATGACCATGTGGTGCCAGGGATGGAACCAGGCAGGGCCCCAGCGCGAAAAGCATGTCCTCCAGTCTTTCGAGTGGTCTCCCAGGCCCCTGCAAGGTCTATTTTAAGAAATAAATGATGAAAAGGGGCCAAGAGATATCACAAGCAAGGCTCTGGGTTCCATCCCTGGGACCATATGGACTCCCAAGTACTGCCAGGAATGGCTCAAGGGCCCCCTGAACAATACTGGATGCAGGCTCCAAAAGTTGCAACAACAACACACACTGAACAGAAGTCAGGAAAAACAGAGTGGTAAAGACAAAGATTCAGGAAGGTGCTGCATGTTCTGTTTTGGTTTTTCCTGAAGGAGGGACTTCTTTCCTATGCACAATCTATGTTAAAAAAAAGAACAACAAAACTGCCTATTCTATGTAAATACTGGGGCAGGGGATATGGCTCAGTGGTAGGAAATAGGTTTTGCAGGTATTGGGAGCGAGGGTAGGAGGGAGAGCTTCAGATGTTTCTGTTTTTCGTTTTTTGGGCCACACCTGGTGGTGCTCAAGGGCCACTCCTGGCTCTGCACTCGGGGATCACTCCTGGTGGCGTGGGGGACTAGATGGGGTGCCGGGGAGCACCCCGGGGTTGGCGGGCTGGGCAGCTGCACTCAAGGCAAGTGCCTTACCCGCTGGACCGTTCCTCTGGTCCACTCGGGTTTCTCTAGAAGCTGCACGGAGTCACTTAGTTTTTCCACTCCCCAAAGGAGCACCCCGTCAGCTATGCTACCACTGCACCGCTGAGGTCTGATGGCTGACTGATCCCACTCCCCATTTTATTCCCAAACAGTGAATCCAAAATCCCACTGTTTGATATGGGAATCACTTGAAATACAGTGAGCTCAAACTGAAGTTTGCTATCAATGTAATACCAAATTTCGATATAATTATATACTAATGGGAAGTGATTTTTAAATCCCTCACTGATTTTGGACTAGATGTAAAATATCTTGAATACAATGAGTTAAATACACTATTAATTTCACCTTTACTGTGAAACAGCTACGAAACCATTAAAATTATATGTTTAGCAAACATATTTCTTTGGACTAAATAGACCTAGTCTGAAGACACAGTGGCAATTCTAACCCCTTTGAAAATATGACCAACGACAAGGAGATAGAAAGTAGAGCAAATCTGCCTTGTACAGAACAGCTTCAGAAAAAGAGGGAAGATCCCGATCTGTACGACTCTGTTCCTGAATCAAACAGCTGAGACAGTCACCAAACTGCTGTTAGCCAGAGTTTAGACATGACACTTAAGTTCTGGACTTGAACCTTGTTCTCCCATAACTCCTCTCGATTTATTTGCAGTCAAGGTTTTCAGACTCTAGCAAAAGCATTCAGAGAGCACATGCATTTCTGTCTTTCTGTGTTTGCTCATACTGTTTCCTCTTGCCAAAGTGTTTTTCTTATAGCATCATCATCAAATCACTTTTTTTCCTGGGGGGTGGGGAGGGGTCTCCCCTCCTGGCTTTGCACTCAGGTTTCCTCCTGACGGAGCTTGGGGAAACAAATGTGGTGCCAGGGACCAAACCCAGGTCAGCTGCAGGCCAGGCCAGCACCTTACCCACTGTACTCTGGCCCCCATTCAAATTCTTCTATTTATTTAAGGACTCTAAAAAATCTTAAGTGGAGTTCATGCCCAAGTCAATCAGCTAATCAGTGGCTGAATAAATAGCAGCACTCCGACATTAAAAAAAAAAAAGTTAACAGACATTCTGTGAAATATAGCCCCAAGGATCTTTCCCCTTCTCGGAACAGTTTGCCCTACTGTTGGTATCACACAATGCGTGTGTTTAGAATATACCTACTACTTATTCTCATGCTTTTCTAATGTTTGCATAATTTCTATCTCTCACCAAAACTAGAAATCTTTTTAAAGGACACATGAAATATTCCGGAGACTGGGCTCAAATTCTCACAATGTCACCCTTTTCAAGAACACTTTTTCTTATGCTAAACTTTTCTGAGTTTACTGATGTAGCCTGTTTCCTCATTTGTAAATGTACAGTGAACACTCTGATTTGTAATTTATTAAAAGCAGTTTAATGGCAAAATATTTATAGTACTGTTACTTTACCCTAAATAAAAGCTATCAGGATACTAATTAAAGCAGAGGCTTGAATACAGATGATTGTGCCTTCTATAAAAGGACCTGAGTAATAACTTCATCACATCAATCTCTCAGGGTCCCTAATAATTCAGGATCTCGGACTGAACTCAATCCATACTTGAAAAGAAGTTAGGTCCATGAGAGAACAAGTAAGGAAATGACGACAAATATACAAATATTTTCCCTATGCTGTTACCCACATATAAATGAGTATAATGGGCTCCCTTTAGTGCCATTCAATGAATGAAGAGCAAAGTATACCTCTAGAGTTTAAGATTTTCCAAACTTACTAGTTGATTCATAGGGGCTATGAACATTTTCCAAGTGGCACTGGAGCTGGAAGGGAGTGGAAAACTGACGATAACAGTGTTGGCAGATAGTATGACCATCCACCTCACCATTCTGCTGATCGAGTTCTACGTGGTGTTTCATATGATTCATGAATCTGTAAGCACAGCACAAAGGGAAAGTACGGAAAACATATAAAAAATCAGTAGCCTTCGAGAAAATAACAGCAGAATCACAGAACAGACATTCCCTGCTCCTCCACCTTCCTTGTTTGGAACAGCCTTTTGCTGAGCCCAAGAAAGGTTTCCTGGAACTCAGAGGTTCCTGAGCTACCCTGGTCTTCCTAGTTTCACCCACAGCCCCTCTTCCGTATCACTGAACACCGCTCTCAGTACCACTCACTGCTGATCTAACGATGATCCTCGATGGGACTGGGAAACGAGGCCATTTTCAAGAAGAACTTCAAGTGTAAGGAAAGCTGTTTCCTCTTGTCTGGGATCACCTACGGGCTTACCGAATGTTGTTTTTCAGCCGCTTGGTACAATGTGGGCACCGGAAAGATGTTGCGACCTTAGGGAAGCTTGTGAGTTGGGCCACTTTGCCACCATCTCGCCCATAGTAGAAGTCGTCTACAAGCATGATGAGCTTGGTCTGGACAGCGTCACCCACATTCTCATTTGGCTCTGATACTTTGGTAGGCGGGGAGAGAGCAGGAATAGGAGTAGATGAAGGCGTCGAAGCAACAGGAGCTGTTTTCTCAGGAGATGGAGGCTTTGCCGTTGAAGGGACACTGGATTCTGAATCCAAAGGCTTTCCTTTCTTCTGGTACTCAACCATTTCTGGGCAGCAGTACTACAAAGAAAGAGCACACTTGATTATTCTGATTATACTGCGAATGCCAATTCTCCATCTTCACTAACATTCCTCGGTACTCTTCTGGCTCTCGGTCTTCTCCCTGAGGGTTCACCCTTCATTTTTCAGGTCTTTCCAGGCTCTTCATTCCTCCCATCCCCCCCAGCATGCATCTACTGCTGCAGCTACTCCCTACACCTAACCTTAACTTCTCCATAATGCCTTCTAAGGCTCCTTTGACTACTCACTAGTATAATCTAGCTTCTGAGCTCTCTGAAATGCCAAAAGTTGCATTTAAACCAAATACTGAAAAATGAAAAGGTTAGAAATGGGATCTGATGAAGGGCTCTTGGTTTATCCAATGACACACAAAAAAGTAAACTCAGGTCAACTTGGTTTGAGATCCGATGAACTGAAAAGCCCGTCCTCCTGCGCAACTGCAAGATCTACCACAAAAGGGGTTACGATCGCGTTTGTCCCAATCTCCTCGAGGGTCTTTGGGTCTTATGATCCCAACTGCTAAAAACAGACCCGAAGAGAGAAACCCTTTAAAAATCTTCCACGTCGTTTTTGAGGCCTCTTTTCACAGGCTTGGGCCGCCACGGGGAGGGTAGTAGGCGTCAAACCAGAATGCCCCCTACAGGGTCTGTCACTTACACACATGTGGCCTCGCAAAGCTTCAGTGACACGGAACTGAGCGTTACACCGCGGACAGATTTTCCGCCCACCATCTTGAAGGTCAAACACTGGGATGGAGGAGGTCACTAGAGGAAGTGAGAAGCACAATTAAGACCGAAAAAATGAGCAGCTGGAGAGAAAGCTCACTGGGCTGGCGCACAGGCTTTGCATGTAGCAGACCCGGGTTAGATTCCTGGCACCACATGGTCCCCAGCTCCACCTGCTGGGGCCCAGAAACAGAACAAAACAGAAAACAGATCACTAGCGTTGGGGGAAAAAGTTAAGCATCTCCTAACAGCCATCACCATGGTTAGTTAGCAAGCATGAAAGATTTGGGGCTGGGGCTGGAGCGATAGTACTGTGGGCAGGGTGTTTGCCTTGTACTTGGCCAACCCGGGTTCAATCCCTGGTATCCCGTATGGTGCCCCGAGCACCGCCAGGAATAATTCCTGAGTGCAGAGCCAGGAGGAACCCCTGAGCACCGCGGGTGTGACCCAAAACGAAAAAAAAAGAAGAAAGAAAGATTTGGGGCTGGAGTGATAGTACAGCAGAAAGGGCCTTTGTCTTGCATGTGGCTGACCCCGGTTTGACTCTGGCTCTCATATGGTCCCCCAAGCCCCTCCAGGAGAGATTCCCCAAGTGCAGAGTCAGGAATAAGCCCTGAGCACCACTGGTGTGACCCAAACACTCCCCTGCCCCCCCAAAAAGGGAAGATCATTATGAAACATACTCCTTTCATCATTCTTCTAACTTTAGGTCAGAGGTCAATAAATCACAGCTCATAGAACCAATTCTGTCAGCTGCCAGTTTCTGTCTGCTGCAAATGCAATGGGTTTAAATTTTTTAGAGGGAGGTTACACAGTTTAAATCACGATGATGCATGAATTAAAAATGTACCTTTTAACCACTTTTTTTTTTTTTTTTTGCTTTTTGTTTAGGGATTGCTCCAGGTTCTGCACTCAGGGATTACTTCTGGTTGGCCTTAGGGGACCATAGGAGATGCCCAGAATCATACAAGGATTAGCCACGTGCAAGGCAAGTACCCCCCCCCCCCCCCCACACACCTTGCTGTCCTGTACTCTGGCCCTTAACCATTATTTCTTTATGGGAGTGGAGCTCCTACAAAAAGTGATGCTTGGGGTCACACACGTTGGGTCATGCTAGAAACAGAACCTGTTAACTATTCTTTTTTTGGAGGGGTTGGGGGGCTTGGGCCACCAACCCCTCCAAAAAGGGTTTGTACTCCGGGGTTACTCCTGGCTCTATACTTAGGAACTACTCCTGGTACTCAGGGAAGCAAATGGGATGCCATGGAGAAAACCCGGGTCAGCTGCATGCAAGACCAAAGTCCTACCTGCCTACCATGCTATGGTTCCCTCCTAACTAACTATTCTTAGTGCAACTGTATGAAGGACACTGATGACGTGCAAGCAATCTCCAGGATTCTTCTCACAGTGGCCTGAGAGAGGCCAGGAATTAAGGAACGTGCCTTGCATGCAAGAGGCCCTGATTCTATCCCCAGCACTGCGCACAGAACTTTTTTTCTCTTACAAAATGAAAGCTCTATGTATCTACGACCTCCTCCCATTTCTTCTACTCCTCTAGTGACTGGTAACAGCCACCCTTTTCAGTCCTTATGAGTCTGATTGCTGTCGGGACCTCATAAGTGGTATCAGAAATTAGTCCCTTTGGTTTCTATTTCATATATAAAGCATAGTTCCCTTAAGATACAGGAAAACTGTAACGCGTCAGAATTTACTTCATCCTTGTCTCTGGCACACCCAGTGGAGCTCAGGCGCCACTCAGTGCCAACGCCAGTGATCTAACGGGACCAAAGCACATTCCCCAGTCCAAGAGCAGCTATCTCCCCAGCTAGTGCTTTCTTTTTCTTTTTTTTTTGGGGGGGGGCATAGCTGGAGATACTCAGGTCTTACTTCTGGCAGTGCTCAAGGGCCCAAATGTGGTCTCACAGCTGGAACCTGGGTCTGCCATGCGCGAGCAAGCACCTTCCCTGCTGTTTCTATGAATCCCGAATTTTATCATTTTGGTTCTTATGTTTAGGTCTGATTCATTAAGTCAATTTTTGTGTACGGTATTTGGTAAGGGTCAAACTTCTTTTTCTGATTTGTATGTGGACATACAGTTTTCTCAAGTTGCTATGTGCTAAATGTTTTTACATTTTCAAATGATTGAGAGAGATATCTGATACATGAAAACTCATGAAATCCTAAATTCAAAACCTCTGAATAATTTTAGCGAAGCAGAGTCACGCTCATTTATTTATAAACTATCTATGGCTACTTTTGTACCACAATGTCTGCAGAGTTCAGTAGCTGTGACAGAGATCAACTGGCAGAGAGTCTAACATGTTTACTATCCAGTCTGTTGGACAAAGCTTGCAGGCTCCTGGCTCTGGATAGTTGAACACCGTCTTGAACAATTCTACACGAAGCCTATTTTAAATAATATATTAAACAAACAACTCACCTTATTCATAAGTCTGCTTCTTCCAAAAAGCCATTTTTTAAATTATTCTACGGCCACCTGCGATCAATCACTGCATTTCACTCAACTACAAAGCACACTACGTACAGAATTCCTTAGAACTGATTTGGTAGCCGTCTCCATTATTATATTACAGTTTCTGTGCAAACAAGTATAGTCACCATTTTCAATTGCTCTATTTCAGAACACAGAGTCCTAGGGTCCAAGCAATCGTATAGCAGGTAGGGCACTTGCCTTGCAGGCAACCAACCTGGGTTCAATCCCTGACAACCCATCTGGTCCCCCAGCGCCACTGGGAGTGACCCCAAGCACAGAGCCAGGATTAAGACCTGCGCACAACTGGGTGTGACCCCCCAAAACAAAGAAAACCAGAATAGAATCCTGATACCACAACTAGGTACAACAACTATTTTCTTAATGTTTATGAGTGACCGGCTGCTTCTGCGCCTTTCGGGTTAAGTACCTTTCATTGAAGGTTCCGGTCCGCTGGTTCTCTGAGAGCCATGGGCAGAGTTGTTGTTGGATACCACCATTGGCCCAGGACTCTGGCCCAGGGAAGGAATGGTGTTAAGGGTATTCACCAGTTTGGCCACTTCGCTGCTGTTTTCCCCTGTACCACCAGGTCGCTTCACAGTGACGAAGCTGGCTATGCTCACTGCAGGTGGAGAGGGGAAGGAGGGAGCTATGTTGGCCAAGTGACAACCGTCCGGCCTCCACCCCACCCCACGCCAGCTCGGCCAGCTCCTCTCCCCAAGCCTCACCTAACTTGGGGTTCGGGACCTGGTTGGACTGGCCCGTAGGTGGAACTGCCAGCTGCCCCAGAGAGGTCGGCTGAGTGGCAGTGGGGGTGGTGGAGGTGCTGGGCGTGGACTTGGTCTGCTGGGCCTGGGACTGTGGCACGGTGCTGCGGATGGTGAGAGTGGCCGGGATGACCGTGGTGAAGGTGTTGGTGGTGGGGCGCACGGGCATCGTGGAGCCCGGCCTCACAGGGGTCATCTGGGAGAACACCTGCGGAACGCCAACTGTCGGCTTAACAAACTGTGTACCTGGGGCTACGAGAGAGAGAGACAAAGAAAAGTGCCAAAGCCCGGTCAGTGAGCTCACCTGGAGTCCAGGTCCCTGCCTTCACTGAATAGACTGGAAAAGGAAAAGATTATTTCCCCAAGCTGACTGATAATCACCAGGTTACCAAGAGGAGCACAGATTCGAATGTTTCAGAAAGCAATTGGTAGCCAAGATAATTAAAAAAAAAATTAACCGAAGGCCAGAGTGATCGTCGAGCTGGTAAGGCGTTTGCCTTGTGAGGCCAACCTGGGTTCAATACGCAGCTCCCCATACGGTCCTCCCAGCCTGCCAGGACTGATCCCTGCGTGCAGACCCAGGAGAAAGCCCTGAGTATCGCTGGGTACGGCCCCCAGACAAAAACAATTTACCCTAAGCAACTAGTCCTGAAAGCATTTCACGGAAGAAAGTCAAGTCCTACCAACTCCTCCCCGAGTCTCTTACCACACTGTCTTTGCAAGAGTAAAATCAGGATAGGTTGTCCCTGATATTACGAGAGAGAAAATGGGTACAGAGTGGGAGGCAGTACGTGTTCATATGCCAAGGAGCAGACCTGGTCCTGCAAAGGCAATCTTTCCCCAAACAGTAAAGGAGTCTCCACTCATCTAACTCAGGCAGAGACTGCCGGTGCCATTCCTGCCAGACGTCTTCTGGGAGTCAGGAGTCTTCTGGTCCGGTACTTATAATTCCATTGACAAATACTTAAGAAATAGTAGGACTAGCTGGGATAAGCTCATCAAACTGATGGCCAAAAATACTCTGTGGGCTCTGAGAACAACAAAAAGGAACACAAACTATAACCTTACAACTAATTTCACCTTACAACCTTTCTTCTTTTTTGGCCTGATTTGCAGTGAATGTACGGACACTGTATCAAGTGGGGGAAGTTATAAAATTTTTAAAAATTATCTTTCAAATCATCTTTCATTTTAAAAAAAAAAAAAACCCAAACAACTAGTCATTGGCAACATTCTATTTATCCTCCAATGGTATGCCACTTGTTTAATGACTATCCAAAATCAATGTAATAATATTAAAGCAAGATGAAGCCTTTAATCCCACGCTGTAAGTAGTAGATTTCTGAGGAATGCAGAACTCGAGAGTCTACATTAGTGATATCCTTTTAGGATAACAAACGTAATAGGGGACTAAACACCAGAAACAGAAAAATGGCTATTTAAACCCCATTCTATTACCTCATGAAGGGTGGTAAAGTGAACAAGTAAAATCAAACTACCACCCTGGCCAAAGGTTAGAAAGTTTTTAAAAATTGGGCTTACATCAATATGATTTTTTTAAAAGATGATCCTTAAGTACACTTTTTAAATGGACTAGGGTATTTTGAGACAATAAAAGCGATCTTCTGGATGTCAGTTTATTCCAATGGATAGACATTTTTCCTTACCTGGGACTAGTGTAATTGGTCTAACCGTTTGGCCTTGCTGTACGTTCAGCACAATCCCAACCTGATTCATTGCATTTTGTACAGGCCGGACATTTCTTACAGGAAATCCCTGCATTAAAAAGCAAAATGATCTTTAACATGGAGGTTAACTAACACTAGCAGAGACTGCAGTTTAAGACCTACATCCAAAAAATTTCCCCACTCTGATCTAACCGTTTGACAGTTCTGTCTCTACAATTAACGCTTTTAAATAATTGAGATGGAAAGATTTAGAAATTCGGGGAAATTTTTGAGACAAAATACAGACACTGGGCTGGGGTGTGGCGTGGCAGTGCAGCGAATGCCTCGTATCAAGGCCCTGGGCGAGCAGGAGACCGAGAGCGAGGGGGGTGCGGAGAGCGAGGAGAGAGAGAAGAGAGGGGAGCGGGGGACTGGGGGGCAGAGAAAGAAAGAAAAAGAGAAAGAGAGAGCACCCAAACCTGAACCAGAGCTGTCCACAGACTGGCCCTAAGCTGCTAAGGGGCCTGGAAGGGGGAAAAAGGCCAAATAACAGCGTTCACTGTAGTGATTCATCACGGGATTTTAAGAAATTGTTCCCAAAGTCCACTTTAAAGGCCATGAACCTCTGGCAAATTGAATGAAAATTTGTAACTTAGGAAGCCACAAAAGAAGCATTTGTCTTTTCAATCCACGTTAGACTTTCAACGTCAACTGATATCGAATAAGTTATCTTCCCTCTCTTCCAAAGATTTCCCTGTACTTCGCCAATTTAAACACACGAATTTCTTACACTCAACTTACCCCTCTTAAGAGAAGTGGCCCAAACAGAGGGTGAGAAGCCTCGAGAACCAAGTGTTAATTAAGGTTTCCTAATCCAACTTGTTTTCTGAATCACTAAATACCCTCTAGGGACACAAAGGAAATCATCCAGCGTTTGTATGTTTCTGTAATAGTCATCATCAAATTACAAAACAGCAAATGGGAAAGCCAGGTCAAAGGACAGAACCTGGAATCATTTCTTTGACTGCCTCTCTCCCCTTCCCGACCAAGTCCCAGAATTCAAAGTCATACTCACCTGTGTGGTGATGAATATTGGTTGTGAGGCCACAGGGGAACTAGTCACATGATTGGCATTTTGCATGACCTGGACAGGCCTCAACACTGGCTGAGTAACCATTGTGCCCAGACCTGGCGCAGGATTCTGAGTTAAGATCAGGGGCTGTCCACTTTGTTGGACTAAAGAATTGCCAGCTAAAGGGTAAAAGAGAAAAAAGCATGTAAGAGAAAAACTACTATTCGATAAGAAACATTACAATCCCAGATAATAAATGGCACCCTAGGTATCAAAGATTGTCACTCACCTCAGTGACACCAAACTCACCAAAAACTTAAGGAATACTTAAAATTCTACCACCAACAGAAAAACAGGCCCACAGGGGCAGATTCACCAATCTCTCTCACGTAGTTTACCTATGAATGTCTAGAATACGTTCAGACTTTCAGGCAAGAGAAGAGAGTTCAAAAAGCTGAGTCCTGAGCTACACAGTGCCCAGAGCAGAGGGTGGGCCCAGGGCCCAGAGCTGACAGCAGCCCCTGGGCACTGGCACTGAGGTGTATGGCCAAAAGCAGGATAAATTTCTATATGGCTATGACACTGATGACCCCAAAGACAGGACAAAATCTGCCTAGACCGATTCAGCAAAAAAAACTCTTTTCCATGAACTATTTTTCCAGACTCTAATTTGTTAACTAATCCATCTTAATGTTTCTAAAAAGAGGCATATTCATCAATCAATATCAATTCATCAAGGACATAATCTTTGGCAGAAGCGATAGTTTAGCACCTAGAGCAATCGCCTAGCACAGAGCCAACCCAGGTTCGATCCCCGGCACCGCCAGAAATGACCCTTGAGTACAGATCCAGGAGTAATCTCCGAGTACCACTGGGTGCAGTTCAAAAACAAACCAAAATAATATATAAATATATATGTACAAATTGGGCTGGAGCAATAGCACAGCAGGTAGGCATTTGCCTTGCAGGCAGCTGATCTGGGTTCGATTCCTCCGTCCCTCTCGGAGAGCCTGGCAAGCTACCTGTCACGTATTCGATATGCCAAATACAGTAACAACACGTCTCACAATGGAGACGTTACTGGTGCCTGCTTGAGTAAATCAATGAACAACGGGAGGACAGTGCTACAGTGCTATATACAAATTAAAAACTTACTATAATCATAAAGAAATATATTTTGAAATAGAAGAAAAAAATGTTTGGCTTTTTGGGTCATACCCAGCAACGCTAAGGGGTTACTCCTGGCCCTTCATTCAAGACTCACTCCTGGAGGCGCTCGGGGGATCATATGGGATGCTGGGGACCAAACCTGGGTTGGTCAAGTGCAAGGCAAACGGCCTCCCCGCTGTATTATCGCTCCAGCTCCTTAAAATAAGGTCACGGTCACGGTCCTCCCGTTGTTTATCGATTTGCTTGCACGGGCCCAGTAACGTCTCCAACGTGAGACTTGTTGTTACTGTGTCTGGCATATCGAATACGTCACGGGGAGCTTGCCAGGCTCTGCTGTGCGGGCGAGATACTCTCGGTAGCTTGCCGGGCTCTCCAAGAGGGGCAGAGGAATCGAACTCGGGTCGGTCACGTTGGCCGCTTGTAAGGCAAATGCCCTACCGCTGTGCTATCACTCCAGCCCCTCCTTAAAATAAAAATTTTTAAAGACCAAATCAGCAAAACAAAATTCTTTTACCTCATAAGGGGTCATCACAATCCACAGTTTAAGAAGCAGGCTCTAAGCCATCACTTTTATGGACACTGTCTTTTATGATTATATATAGGGGGGGGATGCAGCTCAGTGGTAGATTATATATATGGGAACCCCAAAATTGACAGGCCAATACCTTTCTTTATGTCCTTCAGACTGTTAAGAACCCAACCAGCACCTCTCAGTAGCTCTATAGCAAAACAATGCCCAAAAGTAGAGAGAGGGTATGGGGAAAACAGTCAGCCATGGAGGCTGGGGGAGGGTGGGAAAGGGGGGTTATACCGGGGATATTGATCATTGTGTTGACCCAAACATGAAAGTTTGTAACTATCTCATGGTGATTCAATAAAATTTAAAAAAAAAAAAAAGAAGAAAGGAACCCACCCATCAATCTAAAAAACTAGCCAATACCGTATCACAAAAAGCTGGTATCACAATAAGTTATAACTTCAGAAGATGATTCATTCATGAGTAATATTAGGAAATATTAAAAAGACATTCATAAATATATTTGTATTTAATAAACTGGACCTCTAATGGGGTATTTTAAGTGTTCATCTGCGAGAAAAATTAATTTTGGAAGTTTAAGTTCTCTGTTACATTTAACCAAAAATCCTTAATCCTATACTTCCTGATTTACAAATACTTCAAAACTGAAGAGTAAATTTCAGAGAGCCATGAAACCGAACCCACACATTCAACCTCTGATCTCAAATCAACCAGAATGGGGTAGCTTCCTCTGAAATGGGTGGCCCACTGCGATAGCTACAAGGCAGCCCACCCACACGGGCAGAGACATGACTAGGTGCAAGCCAGGGGGAGCTTGATCCCAAGACCTACAGACACCCAGAGCCCTGCGGGGGGCTAGACCACCGTGCAGCCAGCAGGCCTTAACCAACCAAGCATCCAACAAGAGCTATCTGTGCTAACCAGGCTGTAATCTACAGAACATCTTCTTTATATTTAAATGTTTCATTATAAGGTCTAAATACATAAAAGTAGAACACTCTAAAGAACCACCCAACATGTACGCATCAACCAGGTTTAACCATGATCAACTCGTGACCAATTTCACTTCACTATCTCCTTTATTACTCTGAAACAAGTTCTGGATCTCACGTTTTCATCTATAAATAAGCAATAGTGAAATCCCTGAGTGCCACCAGGAGTAACCCCTGAGCATCGCTGGGTGTGTCCCCCCCCAAAAAAAGGGTAAGAACTGTTTTGCTGGCTTGTTTGGGGTTTTGGGGGGTCACACCTGGCTGCGCGCAGGGCTGGCTCCAAGCTGAGCTCAGGTAGTGCTGAGAAACCAAAAGTGGTGCCAGGGATGGATCTGGGGGTCGGTCGGCCATGTGTAAGGTGGACCTCTTGAACTCTCTCTCTCTCTCTCTGGCTCCAAAGCAAGAACATTCTTAAAAAAAGAATACGAGGGCTAGATATCAGGGGCTCGAGGGTACAGTGGCAGGGCACTTGCCACTGTTGATCCAGGTTCGATTCCCGGCACCTTAGGTCTTCTGAGCCCCGTCAGGGGTGATCCCGGAGAGCAGAGCCAGGTGTGATGCCCAGCCACCCAAAAGAGTATCAACATCATTATCACTTCTAAAAAATATAATTCTGACTAAAGTTAGTAATAGGGCTGGAGCGATAGCACAGCAGTAGGGCATTTGCCTTGCGGGCAGCCAGCCTGGCCGAACCGGGTTTGATTCCTCCACCCCTCTCGGAGAGCCTGGCAAGCTACTGAGAGTGGCAGAGCCTGGCAAGCTCCCCGTGACGTATTCGATATGCCAGACCCAGTAACAACAAAGTCTCCAATGGAGACGTTACTGGGCCCACTCGAGCAAATCGATGAACAACGGGAGGGCCTTTACCTTTTTGCCTTTACCTAAAGTTAGTAATATGGCATTATGTAATTATAATTTGCTAGCAGAACAGAACTTAATGTTGTCACCCCCCCCAATAAACTCACCCACATCAGTATATGAAATGAGTATGCAAATTAACTAGATAATGGGAATCCTTTGACAACATATATGTGTGTACATACATATGTGTGTATGTAAATACTTCAGAAATTCATTTTCAACGATATCACAAAAAGTTATGTACATGGGCCAGAGGGAGAGCTAGTACAGCAACCGAGGCACTTGCCTTGCACGCCGCTGACCTGGGTTCAGTCCCTGGCATCCCATCACCCAGGAGTGACCCCTGAGCACCACTGAGTGTGGTTCCCCCAAAACACAAAAGAAGCAGAAAGTTGAATAATGGGGCTTCTCTGAAATTTCAAATACCCTGTCAAATACACAATGGCCCGTGCCGCCTTCTGCTTCTGAACGACATTTAGGGATGGCAAGGAGCTACCCCCAGTTTGGTGTGTCACTCCCAGCTGTGCTCATGGAACCACAGTGTGAGGAACGGAATCCTCGGCAAGTGGCCTAGCAGCAAGCCATGTCCCCAGCTCTCTCCTCTCTCTTTAGGGGGCACACCCAGCTGTGCTCAGGGAGGTGTACTACCTGCACGGACCGCCCGCGCTACCTCGCCAGCCCCCCTTTTTTCTAAGAATATGAATCAGATTACAAAAGGGCTCACAGAGCCCACGTGATGGATAGATCTCTTAAATTTCTTTTACTCTACAGAAGCTCCATCCATCTCTTTTTACCCCTTTAAAATTTATGGCTGGAAAAATACAGTCTAAGCAAAAACATGCATTTCCTTCACACGATTTTAACTACTAGATTTAGAAAAAGTAAATAAATTATCTTATTTATCTACACCTCAAACTTAAGCTACCCACTGACTCGAGATCCCAACTAAATATAGAAAAGGAAGGAAGAATAAGGAAGGTTGTGTTTATGTGGGATCATTCAACATCCACAAATCTAGATAACAAACAAAATTTCTATACAACGTGCACACAACCTATTTCAGAAAGTTCCTGAATGCTGCAGGCCTGAGCACTACAGGAAGAACCAGGCCCCTAGGCACTGCTCCCTCCGGTACCAAAACACCCTCAGGGATTGATCTAATCGATTCCCTGGTCTAAGTCACTCTCAAAGAAACTAGGTACTACAATCAAGCTGATTAAGAAGAAAGGAGACTGATTTGATCCCGGGCATCCCAGATGGTCTCCCGAGCCTGCCAGGAACGATCCCTGAGTGCAGAGCTGGGAGTAAGCCCTGAGCGCTGCCAGGTGTGGCCCTCCAAAATGACATGTAATTCTGGTGACCAGTCTGCATCCAATTTCTGTTGTAAATATGGGTGAACATTTTCATTTTAACCTGTTCTGAAATACATTTTGTATAGCATGTGCACAGGGCCAGGGAGAGTAACTCAAAGGGCTGGAGCATACTCTGAAAGCGTGAGGCCCAGGTTCGATCCCCGACACTGCGGGGAGCGACACACACCGTCCCTTCTACTCTCCAGCAAAGCTGGGCACGGGTTCCAGCAGAGCCACATGTGACCCCCTAACAAAGGTCTACGGTGGGCTGCGGAATCAAGAGCCCATCATTCAAGAGGTCAAGGAGACTAACCAGATAATGTCCATCTGTCATGAGCCTCAGAACTCTGGGATCAAAGAACATGTAGCAAGATTAGCTACTAGAAGAATGGTGATGGTTCATCCATCTATCTGCCTGTCTATTCCTATTTGTTTTTTAAAATTCTAAATCCCTGATACCCCATATGATCCCCAAGCTAGGCAGGAGTAAGCCCTGAGCACTACTGGGTGTGTCCCAAAACCAAAAGAGAAAGAAAAAAATGCTGATTAAAAAAAATTCTAAAGAATACCCAAGTGCCAAAAACTTTATTTTCAATGGGGGGGGGGGGGGGGGGGAGAAGGGAACCAAACCTCCAGAAATAATAAAGATTTCAGTTTGATAATACCTGAGGCTGGCAACAATACATGGTACAAACTATACAGGCAATTCGACATGGTCCACTGAAGTGTAAATGCCTGCCCCAACAACCTTACTTCCGACTGCGGATACGCCTACACAGTGGGCTCTGACGCAAACGCCTGAGTGCATTCACTCCAGCATTGTATGTAGCCAAAGAAAATCTAAGATATGCACTTCTGATGAAAATATAAATTGATGCATTTCTAGATGGGATACTGAGGAAATGTATTTATCAAAATCCTTAAAGACTGTGATGCAACTGATCCAAAAATCTAGCACTTAGAAAAGAAAAGTATGGGCCTGTAAGACAAAGTACAGAGGGTGGAGTGTTTGCCTTGTAAGCAGCCGACCTGGGTTCAATTCCCAGCACCCCATGTGGGCCCTTGAGCAATGTCAGAAGCAATTCCTGAATGCAGGGCCAGGAGTAACCCTTGAGCGTCACTGGGTGTGGCCCAAGAAAGAAGAAAGAGAAAAAGAGAGGGGGGTGGAGAGAAGGAGAGGAAGACAGAGACCCTGAGCACTGCTGGGTGCTACCCTCCCCCACCCCCGGAAATGACGGGGCTGCGAAAGAGCTCAGTGCAAAGGGGACTTGTCTCGTACACGGCTGACAGCATTTGATCCCTGACATCCCACATGGTCCCCGAGCACTGCCAGAGGTAATTTCTGAGCATCAGTGGTGTGGCCCAAAAACCAAGAAAGAAAAAAGAAGAATGGTATGTATTCTCAGAACTAAGAGTGTGAGGGAAAGATACGAGGCCATTGTTCCAGTTCCTTAAAACAACAATACTCGCTGGAGAGACAGAACAGGTGCGAAGGCACTTGCCGTGCAGGCAGCCAAGCCCAGTTGGACCCCTGGAACAGCATATGCTCCCCTAAGCACCTGCAGGAGTGAGTCCTGAGCAGAGCCGGGAGTAAGCCCTGAGCACTGCTGGGTTTGACTGAACCCAACCCCACCCCCAAATTAAATAAACAATATTGGAGTCAGAGATACAGCGCAATGGTAAAACACATGCCTCACGTGCAAGAGAACTGAGTTTGACCCCTGATACCTTAAAAAAAAGGGTTAAAAAGGAATATATCCCTTAGCACCGTATTGTTAAAAATAGCTGAGCAAGAAATGTAATCAGCAAAACTGTGCTACAAGTACCAGAAACCAGAAACCAGATCAGAGACGTGGCTCGGTGCTAAAGCTCACGGCTTGCGTGTGCGAGCGCCTGGAGTTCGATCCCGTGGGGCAAAGACTGGAGTTGGGGGGAGACAGACAAGGAGGGAGAAAAGGAAGAGTGGGGAGATAAACGGGGAGAGGGAAGGACAGGCAGGAAATATTCATTACTCATTAAGGGGGAAAAGCAGGCAAAGTGGAAGAGATTTTGTAAGATTTGTTTTTTGTGAAAAAGTAAATCATTTCATGGGTTATGGAAACAGCACAGAGAGCTGAGAGCATCTCTGCATGCGGAGGCCCAGTTTGGACCCCGGTACCACATCCCCTGCCCCTGGCTTTGTGGTCCCCCGAGCGCTGCTGGCAGCAATTCTGGAGTCCGGACCCAGAAGCAGCCTCCCAGCACCGCTGACAGTGGTCCCCAAAACAACAAGAAAATCCACTAGCACATACAGGATATGAAAGTACTTACATTACCAGGTTAAGAATTACCAACGCTAACTTCAGGTCCTGGGATCACAGTTAAACATTGTTTACTTTTTCTACAATGCACATTTTTCTTTTATTAGAAGGCTATTATAATCACTCCTCAGCGGCAATGCAATAGTTCTGTTAATGTGATTATTCTAGTTTTGCGACAAAACGTGCCAGTAACTTCTCTTTGGGGGACACGGTCACCAGAAAATAGGACTCATGACCGTAATACCTCTGTAAGCCAATAAATATACTAAAACCAATACTTTCACTGTTTCCTTCAGAGACAACCACTCTTCCTATTTTCCCACACCTAGGAACCAAAAACCAAATGAACTGGCCAGGGAAAATACAGAACAAAGTTCTGGGAAGAATTCTTAACCATCAAGAGCGACTCTTCATTCAGAAAGAAAGAAAGACAGACAGACAGACAGACAGACAGACCAGACCCTACCAGCACCAGAAGCAAAAACTCTTAATAGTCAGAAATCCTAGCTATTCATTTTGTTTCCTAGAAATCAGCAAGAAGATGCAGCGTCTCCCTGGCTGGAAGCACCGCACACACTGCTCACTCAGAACGCCGCCTACTGAATCACTTCCAGATCAGAGAAACATCAGGAAACCACTCTCCAGTGACGAGAGCCGCTGCCGTCTGAAACTAAACACGCCCATCTGTCCCGAAGACGTCCTTCTCTCACCCTCTAGCCCAGGAGCAATTTCCCAGTAATCCCACTCACCACTGTTGGCAACTAGTGTGACAAGGGTCTTCTTTGTACTGTAGCTGTTCTGGGCCCCGCTGCTACTAACGGTGGCGGAGGTAGGGAAGTGCCCAGCTACAGAAGCATGGGCAGGGATGGGCACTGGAGCTGAGACTGGCTGCTGGCTCACAGAAACTGCGGGGAAGGCGAAGTACAGTCACTTGGAGCAGGGACAGGCGACACTAAAGGACACTGCCCTGAAGCCTCCCTTTACAGACTGCTGTGGCTCTCAAGAGCCAACGAGCTGTCCACTATAAGCACAACCACTCATCGAATAGCACAGCGGCGTATCCTGATATCAACTCTGTCCTCACGCCGCCAATTCAGACACAGTGCCTTTTTCTTTTTCTTGTACCTCCTGGTGAATAAGCGAGACCAGCACTCACTAAGCCAGACTATAGTATTTTGCTTATTCAGCAGCACAACTGGTATGCACAACCACAAACATCCACAAGTCCCTGAACCTTGTCCTGTTTCAGTTCAGACCGATGCCAATGCCAAATTCAGGTCTCAAGGCAAGGAAGATTAAGAGCACGGGGTGGGGTGCAAGAGCAGGCAAGGTGACTCTTGAGAGGGCAAAGGAGCTACCACTCCCTTTCTGCATTCGGGCTCATCTCATCTTTCTGAAAGAAGCGCCAACGTGCCTACGTCTGTAAACTCTCCATGAAGGCAACCGCAAAGCCAAGTCTACTCAGTCCACAAGAGAAACCAAGTGCAAGCAGAACAAAGAAACAAGATCCTGGGAACCTGCATTTTGCCTGGGCGTATCAACGAGCGCTGACAGACACCATCACTTTGCATCGTCTGGTCAAACGCCTGCTGGACGTCTGATAAACACTGCTTAATCCAACTTTCAATTTTTTATTAATTAAAAACAGTATATCTAGCTTTGTTTCCGAAAGAGGTATTTATAGAACTAGAGCATGCCGAGAAAAGGTATAGCACCAGTGCCACTAAGAGGAACCCTTGAAGTTTTCAAAGTCCTTCTCAGCCTCACACTTGCCAATTCCATGGGCGCACTATAAGACAGGAAGTGGGTATTACCTGTAGCCGTCTTCTCCACTGAATTATAATCCTCCACTACGGAGTCCTCAATGACATCGCTGATCTTCTGCCAAGGCTCCAGCTCCTCCTCCTCACATTCCATAAACAGGTCGGTGTCCGCCATGCTACCCAGGACAAAAGAAAAAAAATGGATTAAATATGATACTAACCTTAGAATGGGACGAATAGTTTCACACACAAGACAGAACTGGCCCAAAGCAATAATACAAGGGGCGGAGCACTCGCCTTCCACGAGTAGACCTGGGTTCACTTCCCAGCACCACAAAGGGTCCCCTTGAGCACTTCCAGGACTGAGCCCTGAACAGAGTCAGTAGTCCTGAACATAAACCAGGTGTGACAAAGCAAAACAAAACACAGCATCCAATTTTTCAGCGGGTGGCCCTCCTCAGCTCTGCTTCTGAGCCTGGGGCCTTTCTGACCCAGCAGATCCCAGCCTAACAGTTAGATGCTCAGTTAGTTGCTGGGATCCAGCCACGCAATGCTGTTCTAGCCCTGTGGTACGTCAGGGCTCTCAAGGCCATGCCAGGTGGTGCTAAGGGGGCAATGCCAGGTGAGCATGAGGCCCAAGCTCTTAAGAAATAGCCTCTCGCCCAGACTCAGATTCTTGAATCTACTAGCAACTCAACACAAAGGCGCACTCTCTATTCCATCCTGTTCTCACCATTCCTAAGGGTTCAGAATGATGATGCTTATACTGGAAACCCATTTTATCCAGTCAGGAAGAATGATTTTTTTTTGGGGGGGGGGTGAGGAGGGGGTCACACCCGGCGATGCACAGGGGTTACTCCTGGTTCTGCACTCAGGAATTACTCCTGGCAGTGCTCGGGGGACCACATGGGATGCTGGGAATTGAACCTGGGTCGGCCACTTGCAAGGCCAACACCCTGCCCGCTGTGCTATCGCTCTAATCTCACAATTTCATCTTTAATGCAGGAGTACGCTATTTATTCAGCCACTGATTAAGCTGACTGAATTGGGCATGAACTCTACATTACTTTTTTAAAAAAAATTTTTTTAATTGACTATCCGTGAGAGAGACCATTACAAAGCTGTTCATAATTGGGCTTCAGTCACGCAATGATCCAGCACCCATCCCCCCACCAGCGTACATTTCCCACCACCCATGTCCCGTTTCCCTACCACCCCCCCCCCAAGACCCCGGTTCCCCAACCCCCAGCCTCCCTCTATGGGAGGCACTTTCCTTCTCGCTCTCTCTCTCCTTCTCCTTTAGAGCATTTATGGTTCGCAATCCAGGTGCTAAGAGGTCATGGTTTTTGTCCAGGGCATTCAGTATTTTTATCAGGATGGTAAGGCTGGCCACTTGGGGTACAGGTGTGACTGCCGAGGATTCCAGAAGTACACGGAGGTGGCGGGGGCAGTCATTCTGACTCCAAGAAAGATTGGAGATTTCATTCACAAAGCCCGCACCCGAATTTTCGGCAGATTGTATCTTAATGAGGTCCGTCCTGAGATGGTGGAGTCAGACGGGGGGTGTGGAGGTGACTTTGGACCATGGAAGCAAGCAGCTGCTGGGGGTTCTGCTTGGGCAGGCCCCCTAGCCAAGCTGCCCCCCTACAACTTACCCTGGTCTATTCAGCCATGCATGGGTCCAGGATTAACGGTGGCTTTTGATCGCTTTCGAAATTTGTGGGTCTCTGAAGTAAGGCTGACAAATGAACTTATACATCTGAGCCGGAGGTAGTTTGTGGGTGTGGCTCCCACATACCTAACTTTCGGCCATTTAATTTCTTGGTAAACTTGGCCCCAAGTTGTTGAGTCCGGCCAAAGACACAGTGATAATTCTGGGGTATCAGGAAGCCCCTCAGGTACACACGGACCTGCTGGCAGCACCATGCCCCCAGAACAATTTTTCAGAATAACTGCCACAGCTTCAAGGCTTCTGACTAAACTGCAGATGCGCTGCTTTCTGGCCTTGGGAGTGAGGAAGTCAGTCAGGGAGTCCTCTAAGGAGCAAATTCCAGGGACAGCCAAAAAGACCTAAAACTGAGACATGACAGAACCTGAGAAAGGATCACCCTCCGACAAGCTACGTACTGTGGTCACTGATGACAGGAATGACAGACTGAGGGGAACAAATCAAACTCCCAAGCCTACAAGTCCTTGAAAAACATACGACCAGCTCTCCTGAGGGGTCCAGGCACTGGCGTGCAGCTGGCCCAGACTCCCGAAGAGGCCTTTCCTTTCTGTTGGGGGTCCTCGCTCTCCTCAGGAAAAGCCCACTCTCTCCTAAGAATCTGCACCCTACCTCACTGAAAACTGCCTGGCTTCACCATCTGCCTTCTGCAGACATTCTCTTCTGAGTCGGAAAGACGGGACCCCAACCCCGGTGGAAACTGGGGTGAATTTTTTCTATTTCCTTGAAGAATATAACCTCGCTTCATCCCAAGCCTGGAAATGTGGCCGAGGGAACAGCTCCTACGCTTCGACAATCAAGTGGGTCTCTGGTACAGTGGGCAGGACCTTTGTGTCCCAGGCCCAGAGACGCTGTCAGTGCTCACCTACTTGGGCATTCACTAGTGAAGCACTCATTATTATTTAATTTTCTTTTTCTTTTTTTTGGGTCACACCCTGGCTGTGTACTCAGGAATTACTCCTGGCGGTGCTTGGGGGACCAGATGGGATGCCGGGGATTGAACCCAGGTCGGCTGCATGTAAGGCAAACACCCTACCCGCTGTACTATCGTCTGGTCCATACTCATTATTCTTAAAGGCTTCCATGCAATCATGAAAGAGTCAGAGCAACTCTGGCTGAACCAAAACAGAAAGGATGTGCAAATTTCTGCAGAAATTATAATTCCAAGAGAGTTTTGGGAATTTTTGTGCATGGCTGATGTCTTTCAGAGTACAAAGCAATTTTGGAACCTAAGAAAGTCCTTGGGCTAAGTTCCCTGGAAACTTGACTTGCATTCCTGAACTATGAAACATAAATATCTGGGCCGAGAAACAGGGTTTCTCAATAAACAATGAACAAATACTAAACCATATTATTGCAGAATAGTCTGCAGAAATTTCTGTAATAACTAAGAATTGTAAAGAGGCCAGGGAGATGGCTCAAAGGCGTGGAACACATGGTTTTAATGAATCCAAGGTTCAATCGTAGCCTTTGCTTGTCCCCTGAGTACTAAGCTGGGAGCAGCCCCTGAATTCACCTTGTAAAGCCCAGAAAACCAAAATAACAGCAACGATAATGATTAGAAAAGCTTCCGATGCAGGGTCAGAGCAGCAAGCAGCCAACCCAGGCTTGATCTTCAATATCCCATATGGTTCCCTGAGCACCACCAGGAATGATCCCTGAATGAAGAACCTGGAGTAAGCCCTGAGCACTTCTGGGTGCAGCCCAAAGACCCTCCCCCCAAAGTTTATCATACAACAGGCTAGGGAAGGGGATATATTACGTATAAAGCTAAAGTCCTGTATTTTGATTAATAAGGATTTCCTTTGCACGGATAACTGCTTTTAAAATCGAAATCACCATGAATTGCAAAGCTGTTTATGACTGTATTTCAGGCGTTTAATGTTCCATTAACCCCTTCCCTTCACCAGTGTTCGTTTCCCTCTGCCAGTCCCTCAGCTTGCCTCTACAACAGCCTCCTTTTTATCTCCATCACTGGTGTAGGGCTGGAGTGACAGCACAGCGGTAGGGCATTTGCCTTGCACGCAGCCAGCCCAGCTGAGCTGGGTTCGATTCCTCCGCCCCTCTTGGAGAGCCCGCCAAGCTGCCGAGAGTATCTCACCCACATGGCCAAGCCTGGCGAGCTCCCCGTGATGTATTCGATATGCTAAACACGGTAACAACAAAGTCTCACAATGGGGACGTTACTGGGCCCGCTGGAGAAAATCGATGAACAACGGGAGGACAGTGACACTGCTGTAGTGTTCCTTTCCCTGACCTATCTCCCCAACCCTCCAGGCACCCCTCCATTCTACCCCCCATTCCAGGGCCTGCTTCCTGCTGAAGACCAGTCTTCAACCTGAAGACCAGTCCTCAACCTCTTTGTTTCTATCGCCTTCGGGCATTTATGTTTCTTTATATCACATGAAGGATACAGTATCTTGATTACTCAATCTCTTGCAGTACCTGGAAATCTGCACCTAAAATGAGTCTCACCTGTCACGTTCTAATCCCAGTACTGTTACTAGTTTGTATCACACCATGATCTTAGAGTCAGCCTTTAACTGGAAAGAAGTCTAAATTACAACTTTCTTTGATTAAAAAAAAAAAGCCTACATCTCTGTAACATAAACAAAAAGTCACTGCTTCTGGCCTTCAGTATTTTTGGCTAAAGGTCAATTTCCTCATCCTGGAATGACAGAGCATCACCGCTCAAAGCCTTTACGTGGAAAGGTTCTCAGGGTCCTCAGGTCAAAAATGCTCGGGGGACCATATGGGATGCTGGGAATCGAACCTGGGTCGGCCGCGTGCAAGGCAAACGCCCTACCCGCTATGCTCCAGCCCCTTAAGTGCTCCTTTTAATACACTGATTCCAGTGTACCGCTGGTGACTCATTTGATTGGGGTTTGGCTTAATTAACCCAGATCACAGATTGTGTTAAAAGTTAGGTCTAAGTCTACAGAATGGGAAAGAATATTCGCCGAATACACATCTGACAAGGGGTTGATATCAAGGATATACAAAATACTGGTTGAACTCCACAAGAAGAAAACATCCAACCCCATCCAAAAATGGGGCAATGAAATGAACAGAAACTTTCTCAAAGAAGAAATCCGAATGGCAAAAAAGCACATGAGAAAATGCTCTACATCATTAATCATCAGGGAGATGCAGATCAAAACCACAATGAGATACCATCTCACACCTCAGAGACTGGCCCACATTCAAAAGAACAAAAGCAACCGATGCTGGCGCGGATGTGGCGAGAAAGGGACACTCCTTCACTGTTGGTGGGAATGTCCAGTGGTTCAGCCCTTCTGGAAAACAGTATGGACGATTCTCAAAAAATTAGAAATTGAGCTCCCATTTGACCCGGCAATAGCACTCCTGGGAATATATCCCAGAGAGGCAAAAATGTATAGTCGAAGTGACATCTGCACTTGTTTGTTCATTGCAGCACTCTTTACAATA